GTAAAAAAGCTATACATGTAATCACTTCCGATGTGGATTGCGACGTTTTTGACTGCATACTGTCTTCATCTGTTGATCAGGTCGACTAATTACGCATCCGACCGTACGAAATATTACGTTTCGCTGTGATTGGGCAATTTTGAACTGCCTGTTATTTGCGCATGTTCTTCTTTAGCGTTCTGCTGTCTTATGGGTCACCTGTTGTCGTGTTTCTTGATGCTCCGCGTCCTTGCTTCTGATATTCCCTTTCCACTGTCACTGTTGATGTTCTTAGGGTGAAGTCTGGGGTAAATATAATTTTTAACCTTTAGATTGACAATTATCAAGGGAGCATGTGGAAAGGCCAGGTTGAACTTCTCAAGGGAATGGACGAACTCACAACATTTACCTTGGAATCAACTCAAGTGACAGGTTATGGAAAGCACTTGGTAAGAGTTGATGGAATAGAGCCATCTTTAAAATGGCGGCCGGAAAACTTTATTCTTGGGCCAAAACCTACGTGATCCGAACAGTGCATAGGAAAATCGTAAATCTCAAAAACACTATTTTAACCCAACGAGGAAATGCTTTTGATTATTACCTAAATATTGGTAGCCTTAGTAACACGAGGGTAAATTAAACTTTAAGATTACCGAGTAAAGAGTTAATTTGGTGTTGATTGAAATCTTCAGTGTGGGAGCATATTTAGAATTTGTTTCTACTGTTCGATTGCCAATTTGAGAAGATCAGGTTGCTTGACTGTAGCTGATGAAGGTAAAGCAAATTCTTTTCACTGATGTCTACTCATTTCACTTCCAAGCATCTAAGTGCTATATCTATTCCATATTTGTGTTGCTTACTTATTACAGAGACTGGGAGTATTAGCCACATTTGATGGGACAATGAACATTACCTTGTACTGCCCTTACTGGATGGTCAACAAAACTGGACTTTATCTGGAATACAAGGTAGGAGAACATCTTGAATTCGCTGGTATACTTTGATACTTTGGGTAGAGGGAGGTATTCTGATAGCTCCACAAAGTAAACGACTTTTATCTCCGCTACTCTCAGGGAGACAGTTTTTCTTTTTACCCACCTATCCAGCTTGCTTCAATCCAGTCTCGACCCCCAGAGTTCTTCTGCAATACGGGAGGTCGAGATTGGCTTTGATCAATGGGCCATTTCTGAGTTCCTTAAATCCTCACTTTGGAAACTTGGTCAAGTGCAAAACCTTTGTTATAAAAATGAGTTACCAACAAAAAAAAAATTTTCATATCAAAGGCTTTGCTCTTAGCGTCGTTGCAAGCAGAGGCACTGGGCAATACGGAAATAACCTTTTGAACACAAAAATGAACAGATTTAGTTTAAGAATCGTCCAGGAAGCATGCGTGGTTTGCTACCCGTAAGGTAGTGTTCATACCATCTCTGAATAGCTAGCCACTGATCTGTTTTTGCCTTGAGGGTAGTCCAGTATTTGACTTGAGACAATCATAACTGTCCATTGTTTCTCTCTTAAACTTGGTAAATAACGAGTTGATTTATTTCCTGTTTTTAGGCGCCTTATGACGAGACTGTTATACCTCATCCCGTTTCCTTGACCGAGCCAGTCATGTTTTCTCACCGAGGAAAAGGAGTGGTGAGAATTCAGTTTTCGTTCTATTTTACTTCTACCCACAGTCGCGTCATCCCTTGCTGTGACTTGTACTTTTTCTTTTGTGATCCATGTTTAAATGGTAACAGTTGTCATAATTTCTCTAATTTAATGGTATTTGGCAGGCCTTTGTTCGTCTTGCTGAATCTGATTGGTCCACTAAATTTTCTCTGGACGCGGCAGGCAGTGGAGGAGCGTTAAAAATCACGAAGGGTGGGAAATTGTATGAGGTATTTGAAAAAGCTTTAGCACTTGAACAAAGGAAGTTGTTATTTTCTTTGATTCTTGGTATTTTCATATATTGCCGAAAGGTTGGAAGTGAAACATCAAACCTCTAATTCTTGCTGTGTAACTCAAGCACACAGTAAAGTTCCGATTATCTTCCAAATGTCACAATCATTTGCAGATCGGTATGCAGACAACCCTATCCTACTTCAGTTTAACCAAGATTGTAGAATTCACACCGTTTAATCTCATAAATAATCACACAGAGGTAAGAATTATAATGTTTATTCATAGTTTCTGGTGCAATCAAGCTTTTTTTTCCGAATTCAACTCATAAATGTCACGGAGGCGGCATTTTTGACCTCTCTGTAAATGTTCCTTTGTCCCGCTGTAGTACACAGTGTCGCTGTCGGACTCGAAGGGGCCAGACTCGAAGTGGACTAAAGTTCAACCAGGAGAGGTGTGTATTCCTGTCATCTTTCTCGATTTGTCTTATATTTCGTTTAGAGGCAGTGTGGCTGAGTGGTTAGGGCGCTGAACATGTAATCCAGTGGTTTCGGGTTCAAGTCCTCCACACTGCTTCTCACTAGATTTTTTCTCAGTTTTCCCAAGTTCATCTCTTTTCCTGCGCTTTGTATGTAGCCAACTTGTCTACCTCCTACCGGTTGTGGCTTTTAAACACCACGTTTATTCACAATGTTTTAATTTGTTCATATTGGTCCTGATAAGTCCCATTTGGGGGGTTGTCAATTACATTACCTACATAAACACAATTGTTGGTC